TGGGCCGGCGGCGCGGCGCGGGGCCCTGACGGTTCCGGGGCGGCGGCGGCAGCGGCGGCGGCGCCGCCTTCCTGCATGCCCGCGGCGCGGCGCGACCGGAGCGCCCCGCAGCCATGGGCGATGGGTGGCTGCCGCCCGACTGCGGCCCCCACAACCGCTCCGGAGGTGGCGGGGAGACGGCGGCGCCGACCGGGAGCCGTCAGGTGTCCGCCGAGCTGCTGTCGCAGCAGTGGGAGGCGGGCATGAGCCTGCTGATGGCCCTGGTGGTGCTGCTCATCGTGGCCGGCAACGTGCTGGTGATCGCGGCCATCGGGCGCACGCAGCGGCTGCAGACGCTCACCAACCTCTTCATCACTTCGCTGGCCTGCGCCGACCTGGTGATGGGGCTGCTGGTGGTGCCTTTCGGGGCCACGCTGGTGGTGCGGGGCACCTGGCTGTGGGGCTCCTTCCTCTGTGAGTGCTGGACATCGCTGGACGTGCTCTGCGTGACGGCCAGCATCGAGACCTTGTGCGTCATTGCCATCGACCGCTACCTGGCCATCACCTCGCCTTTCCGCTACCAGAGCCTGATGACCAGGGCTCGGGCCAAGGGCATCATCTGCACCGTCTGGGCCATCTCCGCCCTGGTGTCTTTCCTGCCCATCATGATGCACTGGTGGCGGGACGAGGACCCTCAGGCGCTCAAGTGCTACCAGGACCCGGGCTGCTGCGACTTCGTCACCAATCGGGCTTACGCCATCGCCTCGTCCATCATCTCCTTCTACATCCCCCTCCTCATCATGATCTTCGTGTACCTGCGGGTGTACCGGGAGGCCAAGGAGCAGATCAGGAAGATTGACCGCTGCGAGGGCCGGTTCTATGGCAGCCAGGAGCAGCCACAGCCACCCCCGCTCCCCCACCACCAGCCCATCCTTGGTAACGGCCGCGCCAGCAAGAGGAAGACGTCTCGTGTCATGGCCATGAGGGAACACAAAGCTCTGAAGACACTAGGTATCATCATGGGGGTGTTCACCCTCTGCTGGCTCCCTTTCTTCTTGGTGAACATTGTCAACGTCTTCAACAGAGACCTGGTGCCAGACTGGCTCTTTGTTTTCTTCAACTGGTTGGGCTACGCCAACTCTGCTTTCAACCCCATCATCTACTGCCGCAGCCCGGACTTCCGTAAGGCCTTCAAGAGGCTGCTCTGCTTTCCCCGCAAAGCCGACAGGCGGCTGCATGCCGGCGGCCAACCCGCCCCGCTGCCCGGGGGCTTCATCAGCACCCTGGGCTCCCCTGAGCACAGCCCAGGGGGGACGTGGTCCGACTGCAACGGGGGCACGCGGGGCGGCAGTGAGTCCAGCCTGGAGGAGAGACATAGCAAAACATCCCACTCGGAGTCCAAGGTATAGGGGGGTGGGTTTGTGGGGCCAGACATGGCTGGGGGACACAGGCAAGGGACGAGCGGGGAGAGAGCCCGTGTTTACTGATGAATAAAAGCAGGTGAATTGTATTCGACATACCTCATCTGAACCTAAAGCAAACAGGAAGCCCACTGAGCGGAGAACGGAGCAAATAAACAGCCTGTCCCAAAGCTAACCAGGTTATATTTGGGTCGGAAGGAGGCTTAGCTGTGTCCCATCGCATGGGTGAGTTTTCCCTGGACGCTGCCAGTAGCTGCTGGAGCAGCAGGAGCAGTCCTGTGATGCTATGATTCCATGAGGCTGGGCAGTGGCTGGGGCTGCACCCCTAGGGCAGCAGCAGCCCGAGTCGTGACCCCGAGGGCTCTGGCAGTGGTCCTGCACGCACACGGCAAAGCAGCTGACCTCCAACTGAGGTTGGAGCTGCAGGTGCTCTGCGCTTCAGCTGCCGAAATGCGAGAGCTGTCCGAAACCTGTGGTCACTGTGCTCCCCTCTTCTGCTGAGCAGAAGTGATGACAAAGTTAAGAATGAGGAACACAGATCTGTTTTTAAAGGGAAAAAAACCAAACCCCGAACAACCCGAACTCTTCTGCTTTTTGTTTTGTTTTGTTTTGTTTTTTTCTTCCCCTCTGCATCAGCAACCAGTGAGTTGTTGTGCTTATCTCTTTGGCCAGACAATAGCGGTCAGGCTGGGAAACTTCTACCTCAAACTGTGCATATTGTACAGGGGAATAAATGGGCCGTGTTTATATTAAACAGCATATTTGCCTACAGTTAGGAGTATTTTAGGGGAAAGGGAGAGGGGGGAGTTAATGAGCCTTCTGCAGCTTGTTCGTTGTAATTACAGATGGAGAGGGAAAAAAACATCCTGGCAACAACAAGATTTTACTGCACATTTTTGGGAAACGGCGACAAAGCTGTTTTTTGCACAGTATTAAGGATTGTAAAGTTATTTGAAGATGCTACTTGCACATGTCCACACACACACAAATTAAAAATGAAATGGAGGTTTAAACAACACCAAGCCTGAAAGTGATCTCTGTTTTTGTCTGATCTGTTATGGGTTTATTGAGAGAGTGACTTTTTATATTATTTTATGAAGGTACTGTAAATACATCCGTATTATAAATTAAAATATCTGAAGGGACTTCTATTATTTTTATTTCCAAGTGCCCGCGTGAATCTGCTGTTATTTTAGCACTTGTGTGTCGTTTCCATTCTCCTCTGTGTGTGTTTTATAACCTATTTATACTCTGGTGCAATTTACTACTGTGTAAGTAATTAGTCGATGTGCAATAAATGCCATTGCAGCACAAGCAAGCGTGTCTCTATAGGTTTCGAAACAATACCTGCCTATAAAGGGAAGAGCAGTGTTGTTTTTCCCCAGAGATGGCTCAGATTACCAACAGAACTTATCTAATGGCTTTGCCTGACGCGGGATTGTAAAACCGTGTTTGAAACCCAACTGGCTTGCGTTCCTGTTGCACCAAAGTCTGCCGACTTCCCTTAGAACCAGTGCTAACAACAAGGTGTTTCCAGCCTGATAATGAGGACGCTCGCTTTCTGTAACCGTGCCTTTTGGGGTTGTATTCATGCTTTGTTAGAGGCAGAGAGTCAGGGGACTGCAACACTCAGGGCTCTGTGAGCAAGGGAGCTGTGTGTCTGGGTTGTTGGTGCAGAAGGTTGCCCGCTCTCAGTGCTCTGTGAAGGTACGCTGTATCAATGTTTCATTACTGCAATGAATGCAGAGTGCACTACTGCAGGCAGAGTAGCAAAAAGGCAGCGTAGGACAGCTCACGTCAGTGCGGAATGAAAGTGAAGCCGTTTTTAGCTTTATTAGACTCTGAAGGAGAGTTAAGTTAGAAATCAGCTTCTAGGAAGAGTGCTTCCCAAGGTGAGATCTGTAGGAGAGCAGCCAACAGTTTGTTTTGGAAATCATTTGTTGCGTTTTTTTAAGTTAAAGAATTTGTCTTTAGCAATTTCTAGTGATGTATTTTGAAGAGTAAAAAAAAAAAGAAGTTGTATATTTAATGCAAGAACAAAATAGCAGCACTAGGGAGAAATAATCCTTTCGAGCTGATTTAGCTGGAGTCTGACTGTGAGCTGCAGTTAGTGGTTTCTCCCTTGCTAACAGTGGGGAAGGGTCTTTAAGACACTGCAGTGGCAGGTCAGGTGCTGGGCAAGTTCTGCTCTGCTACCACAAGGTATGTTGGTTTTTCACCCTGCAGCCCTGGTTCTGTCTGTGATTCCAGCAAAATCAGCAGGGCGCTGCAAGTGCAGGGGACAGTGGCATAGAAAAGTGGTGGCTGCTTGCATTGGAGATGGAATAGGATGGGGCAGGATGTGATGGGAGGGCATGGCAGCACTAACCCTCTAACCCCATCACTGGGTTTGACAGGGCAGGATCTGGCCCCAGCACATATGTACTCAGACTTCAGCAAGCAATGAGTGTTTTGGGTCAGAGGGGTCTGTAGGTGGGAAATTCAGGGCCAGAGCTTACTCAGCTCATCCTGCTGAATAGCTGTGTTGGGTCATCCCTTGGGAGAGCATCACAGCAGTAAGGAGGATAAAGGCAGGGTGAGTGGTGCCCGTTGACCACAGTAGGACCAACTGCATGAGCACAGCGGTCAGGAGGTGTTCCCAATGAGGTCTGGCCAGTCAAGGACCCGCTGGGAAAGCCTGGAGCCTGCAAGCTGGAGTGGTAATAGCCAGTGAAGAGGACTCAACTGGTAGCAGATGGGGGTCTGTCATGAGGGGGTACCAAAGGGGTGGCACGGTGACCCTGTAAGCACAGAGGGATGCTTGTCTGGCCATGTGCATGAGCATGGGAAGCTGTTGTTGACCCCAGGACATGGACTGTGCTTGGGACAGGCTGTGCTTCATGGCTGGAGAAGGAGCAAGCCCACAAAGACTAACAGGATTCCTGAAATGATCTGGAGAAAATGAGTCAAAAGCTCAGTGTGTTGGGTTTTTTGAAGAAAGCCAGATGTGGATTAACAATTGGAGCTGTGTGTCAGAAAGTACAGGTGGCAGCACATGGCTGCACGTGTATGTGTGCGGAAAAGTCACCACCAAGAGCACGGGGCTGCAAGGAATGGGGAAAGGCAAAACAAATCCCTGCTGGGAAGGCAGCAGGTGTCTATCAGGGCCCAAATCATTTGTTGTGAGTGCCTGAGACGTGTGCATGTCAGGGCTGGATCCTCAAAGGTGCCGGTGGCTTTCTGGCAGCATTTGCGCAGCAGGATGGAGCAGCAGCCTGCAGCTCTCCAGGTGCCTGGGTGGGAATGTCAGGTAGGAAGCCCGGTTTTACTTCTGGCTGTCTGCAGGGAATTGAGGAAGAGTGGAGATGGATGTTTCCAAAGTCTGAATGTACTGAAGTGCTGCTTGAAAACTCACTGCACTTCAAAACTGACTCCATTCGTCAACTGATTGTAGATTCACACCAAGCAATAACTGACGAACCAATGAAACAGTGCCCAAAAAATGTGGCTTAAAATTATGATCTGAGCAGCACCCACAGTACATACAGGATTTGACAGCATCAGCCGTTGGCTGGTGATGCAGCACGCTCTGCTGCTTCTGTGAGCAGCTGCTTTCCCTTCTGAGTAAGCATGTGTTTTCAAGTAAAGGGACAACTTTTTCAGCAGCTTGTTATTTTTTTCTTTGCTAAACCCTATCTGAAGTTGACTTTTATTAATAACTTTTAAATGGCTATTTTGCAAACCTTCCTTGTGCCGCGCGCTTTCCTCGTTTATTGTAATTTCCTGTCTAGAGGAGTGCACTTAACTTCCTTTATGTAATATATCAATTGCAGGGCTGGAAATTGTGCAGCTATGAACTAAAGGAGTAGGCTTTCTTGAGGCCAAATGCGGTCAGGCATCACTGCCACTGGCAGCAGAATTTGACCTGATAATCTAATCTTTTTGGAGAGACTATCTCCACAAAAGTATTGTTTCCAGCAGTAAATGACCTCTGTTAATGAAGCTGGAGCAATTAGTCCCATTCAAAGCTGTCAAGAAAATGTTAACCGCTAACCAACAGTTAACGCTGGATAGCTGAATAATAAGTGTTTTGTTTGTCGGTGTGTGTTAGGTGATGTGTTGGGAAATAATTATCCTTTGACTAGCAGCCAGCTTTGTGCTAATCAGAAAGGAGAAGTCATGTTCTGTTTGAAGGATTATACCTAAAAATAGTTCTGCTACAGCCCCATCAACGAGGGAAGTGAAGCAAATTCACCGAGACGCACACACCTTCCTAATATTTCAGCCTGAGTCCTCAAAACCCTTTGTTCAGCTGGAACTTTCTGTTTGATCGTGTCAGGAGCGCTAATGCGATCTCCTGGGATCGCGCTCAGCACGCTCTCCCCGAGGAGCATTCCCCTATGCACCACTGACTCGCTTTCACAGCTTGCCAAATTCCTCAACGCCCGGGGAGGAAGCAAGGAGTCCTCCTCTCCGGGTAAACAGCCGCACGTAATGTAAGATCAACACTATTTGTAATCATGGGCTCACGGAAGGAATCAATACGCTTTTTGTTTGCCTGCCCACTTGGTAGGAACGGCCGCAGCAGGCGGTTCGCCCTCGCCAGGGGCTGGCAGACTGGGCTGGGAAAAGCCACAGGATGGGAAAAGGATGAGAGAGGTGGTGATGGCAAGCAAACCTGTTTGCAAATGGCAAAACTGGGGGCTTTGGAACCATACTGGAGGTGCTGCCTTCCTCTGGGAAAGTCTCACAACTTCTGATAGGGGGACATCAGGCTGACACGCTGCAGAAACATGATCTAAGAGGTGCCACCTGCTGCCTGGCAGCTGACACGTGCCCCAGGCACTCCTAAACGATTTTGACACTTTTTGAGCAGCACCCAGCAGACATGCCTGTCAAACCTGTGGAGGCTGCATCTCCCCCAGCAGCTGCCCTCCTGCCGAGGCCATCGCCGCACGCCGAGCTTTGTGACCCAGAGTCCTCCCCGGCCTGGCCTCATGCCTCATCTGTGGTCCCAACAAGGGACAGTAAACAAGAGAGTTCGGACTCATTAACGGTAAACAGGCCTCAGCTTGCAGCAGGCATGCGTTCCCTCCCCTGCCCACCGCCATCTTGTCTTGCTGGCAGCTGGCTGCACGCTCCTTCATGTTGCTGGCTGCTCGCTTTGCCTTGGCGCCCAGCAGGGCTCTGCCCAGACAGGAGCTGTGCCCCGTCCTGATGGGCACCGTGCTCAATGCTGTTAGTGCCAGCTGCAAACACACCAAACAAATAGAAAATACGCTGACCTCGAGGTCAGTAACCTGAAAGGGAAAGCAGAAGTGTGTACCCTGGATTCTGCCGCTGCTGAAGGCAGTGGTGTGTTGTGGGCATGGTGGTGTGCCTTTCCTCTCTGATCCTGTGTAACGCGCCAAATCCTGTTACCCTTAATGAGATTAAATGGGGATTTTCTCCTGGTTCTGTGCTCCAGCCATCAGCCACTCTTCTTCACCTCCAGGCAATGATGTACCTTGCCTCATGTCTCTCTCAAAGCCATGCTATTCAGACTTCTCACCAAAATGATTTTGATAATTGGTCCTAAACTCATTGGCACAGAGCTGTGAAAGGTATATTTAAGGGAATACAGCAAAGAGGCACTATGGGGCTCAAAATCTCAGCAGCTGCTGGTTGGATAAATATTGCAGCCAGAAAAAATCCATTTTTAAAGGCCATGGCGAATGCTGCAGCTCCCCTTAAGGGGCTGGCAGTTGTTTCCTTCAGGTGGGATTTCAGAATACCCTCTGGTTTCAATAAAATATTTCTGGCGTAACAGAGCAGCTCTTGACAAACAATTTGCAATGTGGTAAAAACTTTTAAGTACTTTGTGGTCAAAATTTCCGGACTTCTTAAGAGCAAGAGATTCAGAGAAGCCTCCGGCACACTTTCTTAGGGAGTAGAGAACAACTTTCTGCCTGGAAGTTCCTCAGTGCCTCTCCAATGCCATGCTGCTCCATGCTGGTCTCCTCCATGCAGCCTGAGGGCTTGAGGCTGCTGTTCCCTCCAAGTTCCCCTCACTGCTACATTCAGTGGGGTGCTCTACCCATGGTGGAGGTGGGAACTTGGACGCTTCTTCCCCAATCCCACTCCAGGAAGGCGAGCGCGGTGACACAAAGACCTGTGCCAACCTACGCCCCTGCTCAGGATTACCAAACCAACCATTGTGCTGGGGAGGGAGGGGTGCTTCCTCTTGGACAGGAGCAGGTAAATTGGGAGACGTCCACAAAGCTACCATTGTTTAGTGTCCCGGTTGCTCTCTGAGCCCAGCTTTCAAGGAGGGATGTGATGTTTGTCTGCTCTTC